TGAATGGTAATGAAAACTGAAAAATTTGAAATGCTTCATCAAGAGACATTCCAATTTTTGTTTGTTGTGGGTTGATTTTTGATCAATTTCATTTCAAAAAATTGTTTCAATTCTGACTTTTTAAAATTTTGTATTGCATTATAATATAATGCAAAATAAAAGCAATTCTCAACAAAAAAAAGTCATTTCAAAACAAAAAATTGAAACATTTTACTCCAAATTGAAGCAGGACATATCGACATTGCCAGAACTTCCCCCTAGCTTTCTTCATAAATTAAATTCTGGCAAAATCAGCCTGATTTTGAGGAAAAATTTCAATTTTATTGGAACTGCATAGTCCAACAGAATATGGATTTGTCAAAATTTCTCTGATTAGCTATGTTTTTCAGTCTTTTGGCATGCTATTGCTAGCATCCCTCTCTGGCAGGGAAGAGAATAGAGGTAGTGGGGCTACATGATACCTCTCCTGTTTGTATCCCTGTCCCTCATTTACTGCATGATACTGACATTTTTGTAATATCGATTTTTAACATGGGGGCTAATGGCAATAAAATGCAGGACAATAGTTCAGGGCTTTGGCCTGGCATCTGGCTGGTCATGGCTTTTTTAAAGAAAGAGCCACCACGTGAGGACCTTTACAATCAGATTTTCTGAGGGGTATACAATCCCAGTGCCACCATGCTTTGAGGGGGGTCTGTTCCAGTTTGTATGCACTATAGATGCAGCTCTCCGGAGTCCTCTATTGAAAGGCAGGGCGACTCATTCATCTCTCTGGTGACTGCTTCTTTTAAAACAGTCTATCTCAAAGTTTCTTTGAATTCATCCAGCACCACATAATTACACTCTCCTCATTTCAGATTAAGAGATTTAGCTGGGTTGCTGGCCTGTGTTCTGCATTTACAATTGCATTAAATAATTGAGCATTAAAACATAGATTTAGAGAAACTATTCCCTATATTCATGTTTATTCCCCTTTGAAATATTAGGCACTCCTCTAATTTGCCTTTTCCTGACCAGTGACTGATCTGTAGGGGGTAAACTAGGGAAATTAACTCTTTCACAGACACATGATCTTTTTCCTTGCTCTAAATGATCAGTAACTTGCTCTCCAGGACATTTATTTTTTTCCATCCAATTATATATGTTTTATATGATTTGAAAAGTATATTAGAGCTCACTATTTACCTCTACATGCAGCATCAAGATTTATTCTTATCCCATAATCCCCCCCACCCTATTTGTAGGAATTTCACAAATAAACCACTGTCCCTTGGTCCAAAAGAGTACAGATTACAACAGTAATAGTGCTGCGTTTAGGATTAGTACTGCAGTATTTTTATAAAGGGAAGATTATGAATATCATTGCATTTCTTTTTGTGGTCTGCATCCAGAAAGGGGATATTCTCTGGGTTTCAGAAAGGCTCCTCTTCTGCTATGCAACAGTGGCATCTAAACTATTGCAAAACTAAAATGGGACAGAGTTTTCTTTAACTGTCTAAATTTGGAGGTGGCCTGAGAATGCTAACAAAGAGGGACGGTTACCATCAACTGTTCTTTAATTATAGATCTGCTTGTTCACCTTCCCAAATCCTTCAAACCTTCCGAAAGGAAACAGGAGACATCTGAACTTGAGCTCTGCTGAAAGCTTCAAAGGCCTATTTAAAATAGCTTTAAAAAAAAAAAGCCTCGGTTCAATACTTTTTTTCTATATGGAAAGCATTTTACCAGTGAAAATACAGAAAGCTTTCATAATAGAAAAGGAAGTAGATACGTGGCATTAAAGAAGAAATTGCACCCTTACTGAAGCTATTCAGTTTTGTTATGCTCACATTCTTTTGGCACAACAAAATTTCATGAGTACATGTTTCTCTAGGAAGTTAGTAGGTCTGTTGTCTCATTCTCTCTGCTTGTCTTTCTGCTTTGCCCCACTGAAATGAATGGTCATGTATAGAATGTCCTCAAAGTGATAGGCAAGGTTCTGATCTCAGTGACACGTGGAAATTGGTAGCAATTCCACTGGCCCAATATCCAAAAGCCAAGGGGCTTTGTTATTGTAAGAAAATTAACAATTTTACTCTGGTATCCTCCTTTACTTCCTATTACATCCGCTTATGAAAACCCTGTTGTCCCCTGAACCCTGGGTAGTCTAGAGCATTGTTACAAGGCTGTTCTCACAAGGAATGATCCAGTCCCATTGGAGATAATGGAAAGACTCCTGTTGCCCTCAGGAATTAGATGGCTGTAATAACACAAAGAAATTTTGGTTGAAATGCTGAAGTTTATGGTATCAATTCAATTAGCTGCAATAGGGTGAATTCTTTAAATGTGTATTCTGCCCACTGACTTAACTGAGCATTGCAGACATGTAATTAAGAGTAAAATTTGGCCCCAAATAGATATAACCACATCAAATTCAAGTAAGAATTGCTTTTTGCAATTAAAATTCTTAAATTTCTGTAATAGGTGTTTTAAAAAAAATCTAGCTAGTATCATTTCATAGGTCAGAAAATGTTCTTCTCACCATATTTTCCCCACCATAACACGTATATTACTCCACAATGAACATTTCCAGTTGTGTTTCACTTTGTGAGCCTGATTATCAGTCTTTATTATCTGCTAAGTGCAGCAGAGAGGAGCAATCTCCATCCTTCCTCACTATCCAACTACCTTCTTACCTTATTCCACATGGCAGCCTCAAGCAAGCCAAGCCACAACCACACCATACCCCTCCCCAGTGCTTAGTTTGTGCCAGGGCTTGCTGGGGCTGAGCGTTGGCACCCCTAAGCTTGGCAGTTCCTAGCCCTGGCACCTCGGGGCTTGCTGCCTCAGTTATGAACGTAAAAAAATTTCTTGAGCTCCAGCACCTCTTTCATTACAAATTAAGCACTGCCTCTCCCTCACAATCCTTTCCTAATTTAGCACAACTTTTCCTTTCCTTCACATCACTCCTGATGTTCAAGAGTCTCAGGGCTATGAAAGCTGCTCATGTTCCACCTCTTGTCTGCCCAGACAAACTTCTTGTTTTCTCATCACTAATTCCTATGTGTTCCCACTCAATGCCTTGCTGGGGCACTTTGTGGCTGAGGTATAGGTAACATTTCAAGGCCAACACAGCATCTAAGGAAGTCATGTTACCATCGGAGTCTAGGAGACAAGGGAAGGTCTGGCCTTCTACACAGATGCAGCCAACCCTCCAAAGATGCCTTGAAATCTGTAACATTTTCCTGTGGCTCTTTGGGCCCTTCATGGAGTTGGAAGACTATGCCCTCTGTCCCTCCACAGGGTTCTCCGCCAGTGAGGAACACAATGAAGGAACTCCGCAGTCTCAATACCAATACATTTTCTGCTTAACTTGGGTCTTTTGGTGGCTCTTTATGCAGGAGGACATGATATGGCCTGATGTCTGTATTCTTCAGTGCTTGTAAAGAAAACACCCCCTTATTTTTAAAAGGGGTTGAAAAACAATTCACAAATTTTCATCATTTTTTAACCAGCTCCTGTATTCCCTATGTTATAAGATGCATCATTTTAAATGTGTATGTGTTTTTAAATGTTTTTGATATAATGGAAGCCCAGAGATCAAATAAGGTTTTGATTGGCCATCTTTCTTATTCAGATATAGCTTTTCTTCTTTGTGAGTATAATAAAGTGGGGGTGCAGACAAGTGGGGAATAAATGGGACAAGGAAATGAAAGCTTACAAAGATGCCATTATGAGCTCACATATATAGGTATGGAGGTTGGATTGAGAACATACTCTGTGCTCAATTTATGGGCCAAATACCCACCCTCCCTCATGAAAATCTCTTATTGATGACAATGGCAGTTTTGCATTAATTGTCCTTAAATGTCTTATTAAATGGATAGACCAAAATAGGACCTCTGTGCTTTGTGGCAATATGATTTAGAACTGAGTTAGTACCTATTTAGTGTATAATAAAATTAATTAATAATGATTAATCTATTAATATCTATTTACTGAACAGTCCAGTTAGTTAAATAAATGCTTTGGTGTCTCTACTGATATTAATGGGCCAAACCTTCAGAGTATCCACAACTCTCAATGAAATCAAAACTCTCATCCACTTCAATGGGAAGAGGCTTAGGATCTAAGTTTGAACAATGTTTAAACCCATGTTTGAACAACTTTCAAAGAAGACAATGCCTGAATCCATTTTACTGGCTGTACTGAATCCATTGCAGTCTCTTTTGCACTCAGCTGTGCTGTATGTGGGCTTGATTTGCCAAGGTGCGGATCACCTTAACTCCCATGCTAACATAATTTCAACATACTGATTGATAAGATTACTGTCCATGCATACCAGACACTTCTAAATCAGAATATTGCTCTGTCAATATGATAATATTACCTGAATGCTAAGTTCCACTTTCCAAAACTAGATACAAATTCAGAATAAAACATGACATAAACACAAACTTTGCAAAAGTTCACTTCCGGATTCAAATCAGAAATCACAACTGACCCTATTTCTATAAGGGATTGAACCAAAGATAACTGATCCAGATCTGGATTTGAACTTTGCATCTTGGATCCATTTCTATTCAAAATACAAGCATTTAAAAAAAAATAGTAATAATAGAAAAGCCATCTTAAATCTCTTTTTGCATAGCCAAACTGATTTTTTTTCTGTACTGGTTAAAATATATTAATTCCCAGAACTAAGATTTTTATATAGAAAACAACCTAAAGAAAATGTTTGATCCTCTCCTGAAGGCTAATTTTCCCAAGGTACAACTCCCAGTCAAGTTACTGACTTCAGTAGGAGTTTGGGATAGCAGTAGCAGACCTTGAGTTCCCATTTCCTGATAAGAGAGGTTTCTAATGGAAATTTGGACTCAACTTTAACATCATATTCTAGTCTTAAAGCAATGAATAAGATTCAATGTATAAAAAACTGGTTTATATGGTCTTCCAACACTTTATATTAGTAAAGCTTATATCCTTTATCAGGCTTCATAGAAAACCATTAAATAACAAGATCAGATGACCTCATGTTTTAATTAAACGAATTCTAGAACACTATAACAATGTGTAGCACTGTTGAAATGTTTAAATTCAAAGTAACCTTACAATTTCAAGTTAAGTTAATTTCAGGGGAGAGAAAATGAATGATACTGACTTTGTCAAAACAAAAGTAAAAATAAATACATGTAACTTACAAAATAAACCAGTTCTAAGATTTTTGTACTCCATTATAACTTGAATGTAGTCCTGTACTGGGAAACCATTGAAAGGATTATAAAAGTGCTATGCTTTCTTTCAAGAAACAGGTAACAAGTGTAAAATGTTCATAGGAGACAATGGTTCACTGGGGGAATACCCCATTGGGAGAACATTCTAAAGTAAGTTAGAAAAAAATTAAATAAGGAAAAGAAAAATATTAAAGGCCATTGACAAAATTATTACATCCATCTAATTTACATTTGAATGTGCCTCGATTTATGTTACTTGTTTTTAGCACAGGCAATAATTCTAAAATATCTAAAAGTAAATAGGTTTGATGTGACATCCAATTATATATACATTGTATCAAGAATGTCCCTGCTGATATGTCATACAGTCACAGCTGTCTGTTTTCTAGTTGCACTTCGAACACTCTTCTTTGCTTTCAGTCCCCACCCCAATCCCCCCAAGGAATCCATTGGTGTCCTCTCCTTCTTCTTTTATTCTTACTCAGAGGCTTCAGTAGACTCTCTCTGTATTTAACATTTGTGTGAAATAGACGGACTATTTCATGATCTTTGTTATCCAGTACCCTGGGCAGAAAGAGAGAGGATTTCTGTGTCCTGCGGGTTTTAAAGCCCCTTCTGGGTCGGCCTTTCCCATTGATGGAGACATACCAGAGTCTCTCAGCACTGGCTTTGCGTTTGGTATTGGCTCCATTGGGCACTGTCCGGTATAGGCGAGATGCGTAAGTGTTATAGCCCAACTCATGGATCCTTTCCACGAACTCACATTCTGCATTGTAAGTTTCCTGTAAAGCAAACACAACAACCATCAGTTCCAGAAAGGCAGCACAAATAATAGTTCAGCACCCTCACCAGTGCAGGAACAGGACTTACAGAGGGGTCAGCCGGTTATTAAACAAAGGACTGCAGCATATAGAAGAGGAAACCCGAGATCAGAATGAGAGAAGGATGGTATAAGAGGGATTCAGAACAGAATAACAGCATCTATCTATTAACAAGGTCCCACAGTATCAGACTATCTAGCAATTCACAAACTAATATGTGAACAAACATTCACAAACTAACCTGAAATAGAAAAGGACAATAATTCGAACTATATTACTTTTTAAATTGCTATATGTGTATATCTATGGATTTTTTCCTTTGTAGATGATCTTTATTGATTTATCACTAAAGATAATTACCTCGCTATTACCTTGCGCTCCCCTAGATCTGTTTGTTGTATCCACCTATTGTCTCTTTTCTTATACTTGGATCATGTGCTCTATTTGTTATGTGCGTGAGTGTATGACATGCATCACCATGGGACCCTGATACTTGGTTGGTGACTTCAAGGTGCTACCGCAATACAAATTAATAATAAGAAGAAGAAGAATGCTGTAGAGGTTCAGAAGGTCTGTGTTCCAAGTTTGAACATGGAACTGGGAACACAGACCTTCTGAATTCTAATCTCAGCATTGTCACTAACTCACTAGGGATTTGGGCAAATTGCCTAATCCCTTGAGTTCAATTTCCCCATCTGGAAAATGGGGACAAAACATTTGTCTCAAAGAATTATGAGGATTTATTAATTAATGCATGAAAATCACTTTGAAGATGGAAAGTGGTGTATAAATACTCAGGCATATAGACTCGTAGACTTTAAGGTCAGAAGGGACCATTATGATCATCTGCTCTGACCTCCTGCACAATGCAGGCCACAGAATCTCACCCACCCACTCTTGTAACAAACCCCTAACCTATGTCTGAGTTACTGAAGTCCTCAAATCATGATTTAAAGACCTCAAGGTGCAGAGAATCCTCCAGCAAGTGACCCATGCCCCACGCTGCATATCATTACAATTTGTCCAGCCAAGATGAAAGTATTAGTTTGCTTGCATTTCTGGACCTATAACCATATGTCTGTGCACTGAAAATATAATTCTAATTTCCTGGGTGCTTATCTACTATGGACATTTTGAAACTATTAAAGAGACAAAACTATGTATCTTGATGATGAACTACATATTAATAGGTAGATGCAATACACCTGTGGACTATTACAATGAACTAAGTCCTAAGTAACAGTTGCCTTTAAACTTCCTTAATACACCTCTACCCTGATATAAGGCGACCCGATATAATACGAATTCGGATATAATGCGGTAAAGCAGTGTTCTGGGGAGACGGGGTTGAGCACTCTGGTGGATCAAAGCAAGTTCGATATAACGCAGTTTCACCTATAACGCAGTAAGATTTTTTGGCTCCTGAGGACAGCGTTATATCGGGGTAGAGGTGTATCTGTTTTGAGGTTAAGGAGGTGTCTGTACACTTCAATCTGAATGGTTCTCTGAAACATATAACTTACACCTTCTTATGACTTTTTTGTAGTTGCTTTTCCTGCTCTCTCTCTGTCTTCTGACACCAGCTTGAGTTCTCTTAGGGTACGTCTACACTTACCGGAGGGTCCGGCGGCAGGCAATCGTTGTTCTGGGATCGATTTATCGCGTCTGGTTAAGACACGATAAATCGATCCCGGATCGATCCCGGAAGTGCTCGCTGTCGATGCCGGTACTCCAGCTCAGCGAGAGGAGTATGCGGCATCGACGGGGGAGCCTGCCTGCCGTGTCTGGACCCGCGATAAGTTCGGACTAAGATACTTCGAATTCAGCTACGTTATTAACGTAGCTGAATTTGCGTACCTTAGTCCGAAGTGGGGACTTAGTGGGGACCAGGCCTTACATTTGCTTGAGGCCCAGTTTTGTACTCTGTAAGAGAAACTCCCATTGACATCAATGAAGGATTTTCTAGTTATTGACTCCCTTCCATCTGACATTTACACCTACTCCTGGTGTCAAAGATACATTTCATCTATTAATTTGGGTCATTGTGAAAAGATATTGATATTAATATCATATTTCAGAGGCTTGTTTCTGGTGTATTTTTCATGCTTAATTTTGTATAACCCAAAATCTTGTCAAGAGAATCTTAGCCTTTGCCAAATAAATTATTTTTGTCTCTTTGGCTGTACGGGTAACAAGAAAAGTTAGAATACTTAGCACTTTGAGAGCACCTTTCTGCTACAGCATTTAATCTTTTTTCTATAGCATTTATTCATAGCAGATAAACCTGGTGCACTCAAGATAATAGTACTCCCTCTCCCCATGAAAATTACTGACACCCAAATAGAACATGCTTCCATTTCAATACAATAGTTAAGATCTTACAATAAAACTTACTGAAGCATAAAGTCTGCCCCTTTTGTTCATGGCCAGGTAGCTGCCAGAGAACAACCCTTTGATGGCAACGACTCCAACATCAACTGCAGTTATCTCTAGAATACCTAGAAACAGAGGAGAGATGGGTTTTCCCCTTCATATGTAATTTTCTGAAATACATCTGAATAGCTACTTACCTGCAGAATATGAGTTCAATCTTATAATTTATACACTCAAGAAGTCATACTGCAGTCATGTACATAAAAAAGACATAATTAGACAATACAGGAAAAAAACTAATGAGATGGGAAATGTTGGAAACTGACAGTAAATCCCTACTTGCTTGATTGAGATTTAACTATTTTAAAAAGGAAAGATCTGACACTGAACTACAGGTTCACCTAATCCTATATGTATATATATAAAAAGTTTAAATCCCCTTTAATGCTTTTCTGAGGGACACCAGAGCGCTTGACTTATTGAAACCAGTCACAAAGCTACCCACTTCAGGACAATGCTCTTTCTTGAGTCTCCAGAGAGTAAAATGGAGTAAGACGACTGCATCTTAGAGCCATGTATATAATCATGAAAGGAACTTGTCATTTAGAAAGTTGATGTAGAGCTTGAAAAAAAGGACAGTATGACAGTAAGGGAGGAGATATTTCAGCCCTTAGAAGATCGTGTCTAATGCACTAGACAAGAGTAAGGGGGGAAAGAAGCCCAGACAGCCTCCCAAAGGGTTTACATCCCGCCAAAGGATGCTAGATGCAAACTATCATAGAACTCTTGTAAGGGAAGATGCTGTAGTAGGAGTAGTTGTGATACATGTGCAAATTTATATCTTGCTTTTGGAAGCTCCCAGATCAGCCATTCTGGTTTCAAAGCTCTGTACTCTCTGTAACGATATAGAAGCCGGATGTAACCCCAGAAGTGTCTTTTGACAATTAGAAAACACACTGTGCTAAGCCTTCCTATTTTGCCGAGTTAAATTTTTGGTCTGACCTCAATCTCGACAAATTAGGGTAATGACTGTACGTACAGCTGTTTTGAATCACCCGTCGTTTTGCCATTGACTGAACTCGGAAGAATGTCTCCTAAAAGTCTTTGATAACGAGAGGGGTTTTCTCTAGGAAATAGTGGTTTTCCTCTGTGCACTTGAGCCAGATCTTGGAGTCTCCCTATCTCTGTGCGCTAACCAGAGCAAGGGCGTAGGTTTCCCCGGAGCATCCTGGGCTCCAGACTCTCAACGTGGGATGCTATACTTCCTATCCTGGGGAGTGGGAAGAAAGGAAAGTCCCGGATCTCTGGGGATTTTAGGTTCCGCTGTGAGAAGAAAGCTGTTTCCTCCCCAAAGCATCTTCATGAGACACCGAGTCCACATACCGGCTGCAATATCTCCACTGGCCTGTTAAGAAAAGTATTTGAAAATCCCGATCTTTCCTTCACTCTCTCACTCACAGCCCTTTGCTCTTGACATATCCCGTTTCATCTTAATTGCTGCTGATTTCCAGCACATTTCCAAGGGGGTAAAAGTCATTTAATCTGTACCACCTCACATCCCCCTAGGAGGAGACAAGCAAGAAGTTTGGGGGCGGGGAGGCAACACGCAGCCTGAGGGGGAGAACTAATCTGAAACCCAGTTTGAGATTGAAGAAAGCCATTGGACGGTCTAAAGACTCCTCAGGAATTAGCACTGGTCCTAGCTTGGTGACAGGGAGCTGTGAGGGAGCTTTGAAAGGAAACGTGAGGAGAGATGCCTGCAACTGTAGCAAAGATGGTTAAACAAAGTGACAGTTGAGTGCAGTTAGCGGTTGTCTCGACACTGGTTTATCCCCCTTCTAGACACAGAAAAGCTGCTTCCTACGCTAATGCTATAACCAGAGGACTCAGCCTGGGGGTGTGTGGCGGAGTGGTAAAGAAGGTGTACAAATCAAAGGGGGCTTGGGACACAAGTTGCTCCATCTTAGACCTGAGCTGCTTGTTCAGAACATGGAGAATCTGGGGCAAGAGAACAGATTTACCCCCCCCTCCCCCCCCCCACACAGATAGGCCCCCTCCTATCACCAGATCAAAGGCAATTTGAAAAAACAATTTTGTTTTGACTTCTTGGAAGTCGGGGGTGGAGGTACATTTCTTTCCCTTTGTCTCACTCGCTTTCTGCACAAGCCACTGAGCAATTCCGTGAGTGGGTGGGTGTGGGTGTAATTCTGGAAGCTGGTTTAAAATTAACTAGTCATTAAGTGCGCCGATTCTGGAGCAAAACGAGGACCAGATCCTACTCCCATTGATCTCAGCCATAATTCTGCCATTGACTTCACTGGGTCGGGTCCACATCTGTATTTCTCCCATCTGTGCCTTGCGTGTGGGCAGAGGAGTTTGGAGAATACGCTGCATGAAAAGGGCAGGGGGAAGGAGAGAGATGGGCTTTGTCTGGTAGCATTAAAGATCAAACAAAATCCAAACTGAGGAACTCTTGGACTGAGGAAGTGTATTACCCTTACGGTTGTTAGCAACTTCGGAACTGGTTGTTTCTGCGAGTGTTATCTGGGAGGGACAAATGTGTGCTGCAAAGTAATTCCAGCTTTGCAAGCAGATCAGGACAAAATCTTGCTGAATTTGAATCTGGAAAAAAAATCCTAATAATAAAGGAGCAGCTTCTGCCACCCTATTACCCCTTGGGTAGCACCTTATTCCTCAAGCAATCCTATTGAACTCAATTAGGACTATTCCGAGAGTAAGACGCTGTTCAGAGCAAGGGTGTCAGAATCTGGCGCCCAGTGTGTCTGTTTCACTGTCACTTCAATCTAAACAGCCCCAGGCTCGTTAATCGCCTTGGTTTCTAAGGTTAGACCTGAAGGACAATTCAACGGGTCAGAGCGAATAGTAATTGAAAGCCACCCTACAAAGCTAATAGAGGAGGAAATGGGCAGGGGAGAGGCATGCACAGTACTTACTGAAGACGCTGTTTTTCTCCAGGCTGCCGTTGATTTTCCCATTGGAGTGGATCTGGAGGTGATACTTAGTGGCACAGTAGAGCTTCCTGCGCCTGGGTGCTCCCCCGAGATGCTCATAGACTCCGCCGCGCCCCCCAGCATCTCTGCGCAGCCTTGGGTCACACGTCTGGCCTTTAGCACAATAAGGTACCTCGGGCACCTCCGCAGCCAGCCCTTGGGACCAAGATTCCTGCAACAAACTCAGCAGCAAGATCCAAATTATAACCATTGTGGCATGATGGCCGCAGCCCTTAGTCTGCTGGGGAGATCAAGGCTTGGCGCAGAAGACACCAGGGGTCCCATTAAAGAAGTCTTGCTAGCAGCCCTCCAAAGTTGCAAAGCACACACTGATTCAAATCGTGAAGCATTGGCAAGTTTTTATCTGCCTCGATCTGTCCCTTGTATCTGTCTTAGAGCTACTTAAATCAATAGACACGGGCAGAGGCCACCGAGGCGTCCCAGCTGTTTGGATTAGATGGAGCTGCAGTGATCAGAGTTCTCCTTGGGTCTCCAGTTAGACAGACTGCACGCATGAGAGAGAGAAAGAGAGAGAGAGAGAGAGAGAGAGAGAGAGAGAGAGACGACCACTAGTAA